ATTGCTTCTGAGGTATGAGTAGCCCCTTCCTTAACATATACACCTTTTAGTCAACAAATATTAGTCAAACCTGTCATGCAGATGACACCATGCTGGGTTATGGGAACACAGGACAAGCAGGACCCTGCCCCATGAGGGAGCTTATATTTCCATTAAGAAGCAATGCTAAAACATTGTTTACACTAATAAATTATGATGAGAAATTATGGTAAATATCATGAAGAAAAGAACAAGGAATACAAGAGAAATTGGTTTAGCTCTGCATGAATTAGGGATAGTTCCTTGAGGAAGAGACATTCAAATTAGGACTTAAAAGATGAGGAGGTATTGGCCTGATGTGGCATAGAAAATGCTTTAGAATAAAAGAATACTGTGAGCAAAAGGTGGCATACCTAAGGTGGAAATGAGCAAATCTGGGTGCCAGAAGATCAGTGTGGCTAAAGCAGAATGAGGGCAGACAGTCACTCCCATGCAGTGGTGACGTCAGGGATTTGGGCCCTTATCCTAAAAGCAATGGGAAACCATGAAAGGGCTTCCAGGGAATGGGCGACATCATTAGCTTTGGATTTTGTTTTTTCTTAGTTTGTTTTGAGACAGAGTCTCCCTCTGTCAACCAGGCTGGAGTGCACTGGTGCAATCTCGGCTCACTGCAACCTCCGCCTCCTGGGTTCAAGCGATTCTCCTGCCTCAGCCTCCTGAGTAGCTGGGACTACAGGTGCGTGCCACTACACCTGGCTAATTTTTGTATTTTTAGTAGAGATGGGGTTTCACCATGTTGGCCAGGCTGTTCTTGAACTCTTACCTCAAATGATTCACCCACCTCGGCCTCCTAAAGTGCTGGGATTACATGTGTGAGCCACCATGCCCAGCCTAACTTTGAATTCTTTAATGATCATTTTGGCTACTGCATGGTGAATAGGCTGGAGAGAAGCAAGAGAGGTTTCTGGGAGGCCAGCTAGGAGGCATTGCTGTAATCTAGGAAAATAATCTAGATGTGCTCCCAAGCACCAGGACATCGAAGGAAAACACTATTCAACTGTCGAAATCTTTCGTAAAGATAATAATTAACTCTTCCACCTGTGGGAGGAAAAAATTCAATTCAATTAGACTCTTATTACTAGAGCTTCAGGAACTACCTGGGGAGGAGCGCCATGCTGCCTATTAGACCACAGCTAAGTGACCAGCTGACAGGGGTTTCCGGAGTGTGAGACCCAGTCTCCACAGAACCCCCCTGCTAGGGCTTGGGTAGCCAGTACAGGCTGTCTCCAGTCACTCCTGGCAAGGCAGACACTGCCCGGTGAGTTGAACACAGCTCTTGCCTTTCAGCGAGTGAAGAGACAGTGGGCAGAGGAGGAAGAGGCATGGGCAGAGACAGATGTCAGAGTCAGACACTAAGACGAAGCCAGGTATGAGCCCTGTGACCCTGCGCAGCTGCTACCCTCATGTGCACCCGTTTCTTCACCTTACTGCAAACTGGGACTGACAGACCTGCCTCACAGGATTTTGTGAGGATTAAAGTAAATAAGTAAGTATGTATAAAGCATTATTTAGTACAAAACCTGGCCCTGAGAAGTCCTCAGTAACGGGAGACTGCCAGGGAATTTGGACCCAAGCTCAGGTTTGAATCCCAACTCTACTATTTAGTCTTTGTGACTTTGTAAATAAAGTTAATAAAATTCTCTGGGTCTCAGCTTCCTCAAATGTTCAAATGGGGATAATAAAACCTACTGGAAAAGGTGGTCATGGAGGTTAAATTAGTTAATGCGATTCACTTTTACTTCTGTCTCCACTTCCCCATAAGGAGGTTCCTATGAGCAGCCTTTTCCCGAAGGCAGAGGAGGAGCTGCCAAGGCAGTGAGCAGAGGGAACTGAAGTGAGACAAACATGAGAGCAGATCAGAGGACTTAGAGGCAGGCAGGCAACACCCTCACTCCATACCTGCTTCTGTCTGCACAGAGGAGATGATTATTCAGAGTGAAGCTGAATCATTCCGCCAGATCTCCCTGGGGAGAGACTAATTAGCATTTAAAGCGATGCTGGAAATGGATATCGCTGATAAGGTAAAACCTTGCCTCCCAGAACTCTGCACTAAAAATGTGCATCCTGCTCTGACAAGGAAAGAGAGGAAACCTTCACAAATCACTTTCCTGTTTTTCAACTGAGGAAGGGTGGCTTGTGCTGATTCCACCAGCTCCAGACTTGTCAGGGAAATGCAAGCTTGCTCCGGACAGGGCACTTTGTTTGCTGATTCAACACCGTCAGGGAACACCCACTATGCGCCAGGCACCTTGCTGCAGATGAGGGAGACATGATGTAAACCTCGAGGAATTTGCAAGGGTGAGGGGAGACAGCACAGTGTGGGCCTTGGGGCAGTACACTGAGCTGCAGCAGCCCTGACATAGTGGAGACTTTTTGACAGGGAGCATTTGAGCAGTAAGTGATATTAATAGTAGGAGAAGAAAAGGCAACATGGGCATTCAGAGCTTGGCATCACACAAGCATCATCTCTGAGTTAAGAAGAAATGCAATGCAAGTGGAGAAGCAGTGTAGGCAAATGCAGAGAGGTGTGGAAAGTGATCTCCACCTCAGCTGGGCCATCAAACATCCCCAAAATGAAAAGTCACCTTGCAAATCAGAATGGGAGGAAGAGTAGCAGTTTCATGCCCAGGAAGGTTAGGAATGAGATAAATCCAAAAAATGGCAGAGCCAGAAGGGTCCATAAACTAACTGGTCATTCTCTCAAATGAGGAAACACTTGGAATCAGAGACGTAAGGACACATGCTCAGTATTACACAGCCCTAAGTGACAGAGCCAGGACTGGAAGCCAGATTTCCTCTTTAGCACTCAGGTCTGGATTCCTTCCTCTGCACTAAAGCAAGGGTTCCTGGGGCAAAGACATTCAGCCAGGCCAACAAACTGGGAGTTGTACTGTGCACTAACAGCCCTGAGTCAACAATACCCTCTAGACCTTTTGTTCATATCAAGGGCTGGGAGGCAGCGGAAGGACAGAATGCAAGCCCAGGTTCACTCAGGACCCAAACTACCAACCAACTTCCAAAGGAAAAGGAAAGCCTTAAACAATACTTCCTATTGGAACCAATCTAAGTATCCAATACTAGCAGGGTGATTAAATAAACAATAAAAAATCCATTCAATTGACTGTTCCTCAGCTACCAAATTTTTTACAAATAAACATTAAAATACCTATTAAATAATAATTAAGAGACATAAAACCATTAAACATATATTAATACTATCTAAAAGACAAAAATAGAAAAAACAGTAAAGACAAACCAAAAATGTTGGTAAATGGCTGTTTTCCTAAATAATGATAAATTAAAAGTGATTTTAAAATTTAATTAGCTTTTTCAAATTATCTTTAACTTGCTTATTATACCTGTATAATACTAAGTTATATTCAACATATATTCATAAATCACTATGTATAGAAAAAGATGTGTAAATTATATTTCTCATTTCATGCCCTTCCATTGAAAATAGCAGACTAGCTATGTTTAAGGTCAGCTAAGCCAATGGGCAATCAGTGTGCATCTATCTACCTATGTGTTCAGAATTGTGCCACATACTATAGAATATGGAAAAAAAACAGACGATAGAGAACTGTACTCAAAAACCTTAGAGAAGTAAGATTGGCGCAAGTGCAGAGTCTGGTGTATAGTAGATCTCCCTTAAATACTCATTGCGTGAATGAAGATAGGTCCATGTGCAGGATTGTCAGCATCCTCCCTCCATCTACTCAAGGGAATAGTCTGGAACTTCTTTTCCAAGAATCTGTTTCTAGTATGGTTCTGGGTTAGTTCTGTCAAGGAGAGGTTCTTGAAAGAGCTTTGGAAGTCCAAAGTGAAGTCGTTATTTCCCAGGGGCAGCTGTTTGCAGGCATGTGGGCCTTGGTGGAAGGCAGATGTTTAGAATATCACCCTGAGAATCACCCTTTTTGGTGGTGCAGAATGTTGAATCATGAATTATCTCTCTTATCACCTCTGAGTAGCCTCCTGAGAATTACTCACCTTGGAGAGGTGGCTGCTGAGATCAGTGGAACAGCTTCACTGAGACCTCTGTACTTAGTGGTTTTCTGAAAGCAGAAATTTCCATCTTCCAGTGGCCATTGAATTCTCAAATTCCCTGTATTAAGCCTCTTCCTACTTGAAATACCTAGAGTAGCTTATGTTCTAACCAAATCCTGACTAATATCGACTGCATATAATGAAATGCAAGACTGAGCGGACCCTGCTATTCCATGAGGAATAGGAATGCTGGCAAAGTCTCAATCATGTGGTCCAGTCTGAGCCAGGTGAACCAGCCAGGTGAGTGGATTACTTGTGTGTGGATGAATAACCGTCCCTTCCTGCTGACTTCATTCAACTATCCCCTCAATCCTTTCCTCACTCATTTACACTTCTTTCTCAAAAGTGTCTGCCTCTTTGCCATTGGAAGAGCTAAGAAAATCATGCACAGGCTTTTTTTTTTTTTTTAACTAATGCTAATAAATATTGATTCTCTGCAGGAGGATCTCATTTGGGCAAACTAACAGTTTGGTTCCCTGGCAGTGGCAGCCAATGTCCTGCAATAAGCCTAAAGGAAATCCTTGCCAAGTCACTAAGACATCTCCAGCATAGGAATCCTATTTTCTGGGATCTCTTGCAGATGAATCCAGCCCCAGCATCCACAGGGGCCATGGAAGAGTCACACAAAGCCCACTCCAGTCTGGCAAACTCACTCAAAGCCAAGGGCAGTTGGGCCATCTCATTCATATGGATTACCCATCCATTCAATCCACTTGTGTTAAATATATAAAGACATGATGGGAGCAAGCCATGGTCCCCATCCTTGAGGAACTCAGCTATCCTAAGGTAACAACAAATGCTAACATTGTAATCATAGAAGGATGCTTCTTTTAGCGTCAAATAGTATTTTAACCTAAGTGCTGTTATAAAAATATAACTATTAATAAAAGCCAAGTGATTCAAGGTTGAGTGTTGAATGGAGGTAATTTTATTTCCAGGAAGGAAACATCCAGCAGACAGGTGAGGTTCTGAAAGAGGTGGTTTGGGGAAAAGAAAATGGAATTGGTCTTTTAAAGCCAGTTGGTTCTAATAATTTTTTAAACTACAAGTCTCTCTGTCCCATTTAGGAAAGCAAAGCTTCTGAACACTGTTGACTGCTAGTGACACTAGGAATTGCCCCTCAGGTGTGTAAGTGCCACGATGGCTGGAGCGGTCGCTACTGTGTACAGATGCATCCACCTAGAGACCGTGGCTTCTAGCTGCTTTTGCTCCCTACCTTGAGTCATCTAATTTGGGATGGCTCCCAGTTGTCATTTTATCAAATGTCAGGTCGCATGATTGACAGCAAATTAGATAGCTTATTAACAGAGTAACAATATAATTTATCACCCCAATCAGGACATTATTTAAAGAATATGCTGCTGGTAACTACAATAAAACAATGCAACAGCTGGAACCCAAGACAGCCCCAAGGAGGACAACCATCTATCTAAAGGAGAAGCAAAGAGGACATACATGTGTTGAGCTTCCTTATAGCATTCTACCAGCCATTTACATGTTCTTTCTCTCATTTAATTCTGATAACAACTATAAGATGTAGATGTTACTTATTCTAATGTTACAAATAAGGACCTATGGCTCAGCTAATTAAGGCATGAAGGAAGGCTTTCCAAAGGAGGTGACCCAATGGGAAAAGAAAGAATGGGTAGGAAGTGGCTAGGAAAAGGATCAGGACTAAAGCAAAGAAAAATAACAAATGCAAAGGAATGGTGATGTCAAAGAACCTTTAAGGAAACAGGAAAAACAAATGATTGTGTTCAGCTAAAGGGAAGTGGTAAGAACCCATGGCGCATGGCTCAGGGGGCCTAACCTTTCCCTTCCACACAGTGCTTCACAGGGGTTGCCATCCACAACTCAGAAATTCCAGCCACTGTCAGGAAGGGTAATATTCCTGCTACTGACCCCAACCAAAGGAAATGGGTCAGGAGCAGAAATATTACCCTTGGTGGACCAGCAATAATCTTCCTAGACTTCTTCCAAATCTATTTTTCTAAACCTTCATTCAGCTGAGGTTGCTAAATTGACAGCACATGAGTGGAGGCTACAAGGGCCATTTGCCACTATGTGGAGAAAGCCTGTTTGTGACCAAAGCGTAAGTGAAGGGGACACAGAGACACCTAGAAAGAAACAGAGACAGAAGGGGCACGGTAAGGACACGACTTAAAGCCTTAGATCCAAGCATGCCTGCAATTCAGAATTTATACATCTTGGGATTTTCAATTACATAAGCCAATAATTTTGTTTTCTTGTCTAAATTCAATGGGTCCTTTGTCCTGATATAGTGAATTTTAGATACATTTGGGTCACCCCAATGGATGTATCCAAAATATGCCTGTAGCTCAAGAGACTGTCAGGAGGCATCAAATTAGGAGATACCATCATGGGAATTAAAATCTCAGGAGTGAATGTCATGGCCAATGGCTGGTACATGGATGAAAAAGCGGCAGGCCTGCCCCTTGTGGGGTACACAATACATAACCAAGCCTGTAGGGAGAACAGCAAGGGGAATCCAGGCAATATGACTGAGAAAGAGCCACCACAGATGCAGAGGGAAAATAAGGAGAGAATTTATGCCATAGCTGAAGGAGGACTGCATTAAAGAAGAGATTGCTCATCAGAGCCAAACACCACAGAAGAGCGAAAGAAATTATCATGTTACAGGAAAATTGGGAAAACACCCCTTTCCCTCATCACTCATGTCAGGGCTGTAAGGTACAGTAGGAAATTGCTATAAGATGAGTCAAAGTGTAACTGGAAGTCAAAGGCCAAATTCTCTGGCCATTTCTGCTTCCATCTTACTTGACATCTAACCCTCTCTCACCATGTTGATGAGTCTTCTCTCGGTTTCAGTGCTGTCACTGTCTCCCTTTCTCCTGACTTTTTGTTCCTACCTTCTCAGTGTTCTTTAGTGATACCTCATTTCAAAACAACCTCTTAAATCTTCATGTTTCTCAGGGATCAGAGGCTCTCTTCTTACCACACACTTCCCTTGGGCCATGTCATTCATTTATGGGCTCTGCAACAGCCCATGACTGTTAAGTTCCTAATACGATTTCAGGGTCCCTAAATCCACACCTATAGGATGGGGGCTGCTAAAGCTGTTCAATACAGGAAGGGAATCCTTTCCTCTGAACAGACTTCAAATATGTCCACAGAAGATTATGAACAAAGAAGACCTATCCTGAAAGGAGAGCCAGGGACCACCACAGCCACCTACAGATGTGCATGCTGAGCACTGCACGAGAACACCTAGAGGAATGGCAAGCTCAGGCTGAAATCCAGCCTGTAATCCGCTCTCCAAACCCTCTGCTGCAGCGCTGCATGCACCCAGGGAAGGGTTGTTGTTTCCTTATAAGCACAAAGACTCTGCTTGCCAAAGCCATGCACCAGAGCAGGGCAATGACCACCCAGAGGGTGACCCTTTTCTAACGTATATAAAAATGAGGAATGGACCAACAGTGGCCCTGGGAACCCAAAAAACAATGGATAAGGGAGATATTTAGGGAAAGCAGAACTGGGGGCTGACAGAGAAACTTAGTCCTCTATAATGTCAAGCAGTCTTCGGAAACCCTATCAAGAGGACTGAACTTTGCTTCAGATTAGAGACTGGGTCATGTCTCCTCTTTTTCAACAGTGTTGACAGTGGTCATTCCGTTCCTGCTCCACCACTGCATACTGAGTACACCGAGAGGTACAAAGACAGCTTGGCCTTGAAGGATTCAGGTCATCACACAGAAAGGACATCCAAACATCATGGCAGGTTGTGATATTGTGATATAATAAGAAATATATGTATCTGCCCCTGCTTCCTGACATACAGCTCCTAAGACCTTTGTAGACAGGGGTGCTAGGAGAATCTTTTGTTCTAATATTTGGTCTTTGACCACAGTTCCTGACATAGATTTCCTAAATCCCTTGGAATCTCCTGGGTTCTAATTACCTCATTAGAACAATCTCAGCATCTTTTGTTCTAATGAGGTGATTCTTTGTGGGGTCCTGGATGGCCTCAGGATGGGTCTGGTTGCCAGGGAAGCAACCTCGTGATTAGAGGATTGAAACTTTTATCCCCAACTCCAAGCCTCCAGGGAGAGCAGAAGGGCTGAGGACTGGGCTGATAACCAATGGCCAAGAATATTACCCATGAGTGCACCACCATCCTACCAACAGGTAAGTCACCCTCGAGATCACTGCAGCCCATCCTGTCACTCTCACAAGACTGAACAGCAAGAAACAGCCTGCTAGCTGTTTCCCTATCAAGGAATACTGGAACTCAGATGCCTTCCATAGTTGGGACCAAAAGCCTACTGGCGTTCTCAGGTGCTTTGTCCACTGCCACTGGCCCCAACAGAAACCATCTGTGGTCATATACACATCCAGCTCAAATGGGCACCCCTGGTCAATTACCTGTAGGACTTGTGCCTGCTGAACAGACCGCTTGGCTGCCAGGAAGGCAGTCTCAGCCATGTCATCCCAATCCCAGGTAGCTCCTTTTTTGTTAACCAATACAGCAGATTTATCCTTTGAGCTAAATGGGACACAAATATCCACCAATATCCCAGGGGGGTCACCAAAGTTTGCAGCTGTCTCAGTGCAGTGGACTGGGGATATGCCTGAATTTTGTCAATAATGGCTTCTGATATGGCCTTTATCTTACCTGACCAGATAACTCCCAATAATCTGGCAGATAATCCAGGCCCTTGGACCTTGGATTCGCTGACAGCCCAACCACATGCCGCCAAACGTGGCTACAAGAGGCACGAGCATCATTAACATAACAGAATAGGCAGGCCCCTTCTGGACACTGCCAGGAGGCTAAATCTATGGAAACAAGACAAGACATATGGTGGGCGTAGGCACACAGCCCTGCGGCAACACTGTCAAAGTCCATTGTTGCCTTTCCCACGTGAAGGTGAACTGTTCCTGGCTCTCTGGAGTGATGCTGATGGAGAAAAGTGCATCGGTCAAGCCCACTACATAATGATATTGTGCCAGTTCCGCAGTCAAATGGTCCATTAAATGCATGATTGACAGTACAGCTGCATGCAAAGGGGATGTTATTCAGTTCCCAATAGTCCACCATCGTCCGCCAGATTCCATCAGGCTTTCAAACTGGCCACACTGGAGAACTGTAGGAGCTGTGAGGGCCACACACTATCTGCACCTCCTCCAGCTTTTTGGTTGTCCCAGTTATCTCCATATGCCCACCCACCAAATGGTACTGATGCGTGGAAGTAACCTGTTGGGGCTGTGGCACGACCTGAGGCTGGTGACGCGCATGTCTGCACAGCGCCAGCTTTACCACATGCACTGGGAGTCTGAACTCACCGGCCATGGTTTGTAACACCAGGCCATGTACAATGTACACCCCCAGAATGTATTCTGGTATGGGAGAGACATATACAGTACATAAACGGGGAGCCAAGCTGCCAATGCTGAGGCACAGAGATACAGGTCTCACTTTCACTGGCCGGCCTCCATAAGCGTCAATGTTTGCAGCTTTGCCCAGGGAAACTTATCTGGGTTCCCATCAACAAGGCTACAAGCTGCGCCGGTATCTACCAGCACCAGCACCCACTGTACACTGGTGAGGGACCAGTGGATTGCTAATTCCACATGTGGCCTCCAGTCATCCTGTGTCTTCCCAAGCTGAGCACCTCAGCCAGTTCCCTAATCAAACATAAAAGGCTCAGCATTTCCTCCTGGCTGCAGTGAGTAGTTTCCAAGTTGGAACCAATGCCCAGGCAGGACAGGACTGCACAGCAATGTCCTTCTACCGCTTGGACATTTTCTGAAATTGCTGCCCCAAAGATCACCTTCTCCACAAAGTTAAGACTATTTCACTGGGCTGCTTATTGATTTTTCTCTCAGTCAACCCTGGCCAAAACCAAATCTCTTCACACCTGTGAACATGTTACTCACTGGGGCCCCCTTTTTTCCCATGGGGGAGCCCCCTGCAGGTAGGGCAGCTTCCCCTTCTTTATGGCACGGACCCCTTGGTCCCACCGATGGCCTTCTGATTCCCTGAGAGCCACCACAGCAGTAGTCATTTCATGTATGTGGCACCCTACATAAGGGGTGAAGACAGTAGCCAGGAAGTGAAAGGCGCTCAGGCACAGATCTCAACACAAAGCCCCTCAACTGGAGGTGAAGCATTCATCACTGCCCCCAGGAATTCATGTCAGACATAGCCTAACGCATAGCCATCTCCCAGATGACTTGCACCAAATTGGCATACAACTGCCACTTACAGTTTCGGGTATTCCACTGGCGTCATTTCACACAGTCAGTATGGCTGCCCACAGCCACTCAATCAGGGCGTGGTCACCTTGCCCTGCCATTAACTGCCTCCTCACTTGCAACCACTGACAGGGCAAGGGATGAGTCTTGATGGTGGCCAGCTCTTCCATCTCAGAGGCAGAACAAGAAATACTATCTGCTCCCTCATTTCACAAATGAAGCAACCAGGCAGGCAGGGTTCCCCTGGACGCTGCTGGCCCTGCTTGCCTAATTCCTGCAACTCAGTTGTGGCAGAGGCACTACGTGAAGTGTGTTGTGTTACGGTGGGCCGTCCCTGAGCGCGCCCTTGGGGTCCCAACAGCTGTTCGTGATCTACCTTCTGATGGATCACTGCGCAACCCCGCATTGGGGTTCTTCCTCCTTGGTATCAGATCGAGTGGGGGGGTCTCTGCTGAGTCGACGACGACCCAGGCCTGCATTCATGGCAGCCTCTAATTCTTTTTCCAAGCTCTGAAGCCGGGCCTCCAGGTGCCCCACCTGAACCTGGAGATCCCCATTCACGGCAGCCTCTAACTCTTTTCCTGATCTGTGTCGCCAGGCCTCCAGGCACCCTGCCTGCGCCTGGAGGTCCCTCACCTGTGCTGCATCCCTCAGGGACTGGGGGCATACTTTTCGTAGCACAGTCAAAAACACCCAACCAATTCTGCCGGCAAAGGCTCCCTCCTTCTCAGTGCTGGGTGCTTCCAGTGGCCTCAGCACCGTCTCCATGCTCGCGGGAGACCCGTCTACCCACACCCAGGTTTCCATCGAAGCCCATCCGAGCAGCACAGCTGCCACTAAAACCCATTTTGCGACCACATGGCCGGCCCGGCGTCGGCAAGGCCAAAGCCTCACTCACCTCAGAATCCTGTTCTTGACACCAGTTACCAGGTTCTATCCCAAACTGAGGTCCAAGGGAAGTCGGTGGGCGGGTGGCGGGCAGCTGGAAAAACACCGTCGGAATTGTAGGCAGCTCTGACATGGCTTTGTTCTCTTTCTGGGCGCGACCCCTAGGCCCAGCGTTAGCAGGGTAATTATACCTTTTGCAGACAATAGTGGCTCCGACTGAAGCACGAGCTCACGTGACTGCTCACCTAATGCGCCTCACATGCTGTGGTGACGTAATGTGCGGAGTTGTGCACCTGCCCGAGCTCCAAGCCCGCTGAATCCCGCGGTGCCACTTCGCCTGTTCCTCACTCAAGTGCAGCCATTTCCCTTACAATGTGTATACAGAAGTCAGTGGGTAGGACTTAAAGGGAAGGTAGACAGCTGCAAGCATAGCACTTTTCTTTTTTTAAAAAAAAAAAAACCTCCCACCTTTTTTCCTGCTTTCTGCCTGAAATGTAAAGATGATGACGGGTGCTCTAACAGCAATATTTGATCATAAGACAAATCCAAAATGGGGGATACATACTAAAATGGTGGGGCAGAAAGATAGATAGGTCCCCGAAAACACCACGATACCCACGCACCGGCCCATTAAGGTGATGCACAATATGTTTCCGTCTCGTTTCAGCCATTGTTGCTTCTGGTCTTTGACAAGAAAGTTTCTTCTAGTAACTAAACGTAATTCCTAAGAAACACACTGCGAATATGTATCAGATCCCCACATTGCTTTATCAGTGGTTCAGATCTCTCCTAATAGTTTTAGAGCTGTCCTCTAGCTGGATGTCAGCTGCCTCAATGGCAACATTCTCGAAATCAAACTCATTATCACGTTGCCCACCCCAACCCTCCATCTCCCACTGAGTCTGTTCCTCAGCTTAACAGGTGGTGGATAAGGAACAAAGAGCTGACAAGCAACGAGCTCTGAGTCTCAAGAAGAGGGACATGGATCACAACTGGCCACTTGGCGTTAAGGGAAGAAGGACTCCCAGCCACAGGTCAGGGCCTTTCCTGGACCAAAACTCTGCCAGAGATTCATCTCAGGTGCAACTTCTTCTAAACTGAGGGTCTAACGATATGCAAATACCCATCATGAGCAGGGGAGGCAGTAACAAAAGCCCAAGCTGGCTCTCAGGAAGTCCCAGGTGTTTTTTATGAGTGTTAGAAGTTTGATCCAAAGCTGAGTGTGATAGCTTACACCTGTATTCCCAGCACTTTGAGAGGCTGAGGCAGGAGGATCACCTGAGCCCAGGAGTTTGAGATCAGCCTGGGCAACAAAGAAAGACCCTGTCTCTACAAAAGTTAAAAAATTAACCAGGCATGGTGGCACGTGCCTGTAGTCCCAGTTACTGTAGAGGCTGAAGCAGGAGGATCACTTGAGCCTGGGAGGTCAAGCCTGCAGTGTGCCATGATCATGTCACTGCATTCCAGCCTGGGCAACAGAGTGAGACCCTGGCTCAAAAAGGAGGAGTAGGGGATAAACCAGTCACTACTACCAAAAATATTTTATCAAGGAATGACCCCGGATGAAATATTGGAGATATCTATCTCTCAGGCAAGGTGGCAGCCAGGAAATAGCCATGTTTTCAGATGTGTTGGGTCTGAGTAACAGTACGTGTCTATGTGAGTATGTCATGGGTCTGTATGTGTGTGTGGTGAGTTTGTGCGATGTGTGCAGAGTGTAAACGTGTACATACATCTGTGCATATGCAAGTACCTGCTATGTGTGGACTGTGAGGGTGTGGAGGGAGGCAGTGAGTGGAGTAGCAAAGGACTGGAGGGCTGCCTCTCCGTAATTGAGTAGCTAATACTGTGAGCATTTCTCCTTTACCAGGCACCCTCCTGTCCATGTGCTCATTTGGGCCTCACAAAAATTTATAAGGTAGGGATTCACATTGCTTCTGTTTCTCAGTTGAAGGGACTGAAGCACAGACAGGTAGATTCTGGCTAGAAAGAACATCCTGCACAAAGGAACTACAATGCTGGGCTTTCTACACCAGGCCTGTGCAAATGGACGTAAAGGGAGGGGAGACAGCACCACCTACCTCAAGAAGTTATGCCCATTTGTCCATCTCATGCTCCTGCCTCCTATTCATGCACTTACCAATTTATTCATTCATTCATTTTCATTTATTCCATCTCAGACATGAAGTTGGTCTCTCTTGCATGTCAGACCAGCTGATCTTGACTGTGTGTGGGAAAAACAAGGTGAGAGGCCTGGGTACTCACGAGTGGCACTCGTAGGGTGAAAATGACCCAAGTGGGAAGTGACTGAAGGAAGGGAAATTAGAGAGAGTGGGCAGAATTTAAATTGTGAATGCATCCCAAGCTTTCTTTTCTTTACATTCAGGCTCTCCGTGACTGAATTTCAGAACCTTAGAGTTTATGTTCAAAATGCCTTCTAAAATTAGCACGCACAGCCCTGCAGTTTCTGCAACATGCTCTCCTTATTAACAATACCTGCCCTTCTCCAGCACCACCCACATTTCCAGAGCCCTGCTCCAGCTAGGAAGGAGCAGGTAGTTACAAGGCCTGGTTCCCACTTCAGCTCTGTCAGAAGAGAGCTTTGGATGAGACTCACCCACCGGGACTCCATTTACGCCAAGTCAAGTCAGCCAGTGGGTGCGGCTGATCCTGCAGGGATCTGGAGAACACTGTATCAGCCTCTGCATGTGGGGACATCGCAGGCATGGGTGCCAGGCCTGTGCGCTTCTGACCTGATCACTGTTGCTTCTTGTTTTCGACTTCCCAAGTGCTTACACAGCTCTTCATTAGACCAGCACATCTTCCCCTCAAGACAGGCATCTATTCCCACTCTATTCAAAAAGCGAAGTTTCACGGTGGTTTGCAGGCTTGCTAGAGGCCTCAGAGCAAGTCAGTGGATAAGCGAGAAATCAGGCTCAGAACCCCCTAGCCAGGCATCCAAACATTCTCTCCTTCCCTCTTACCACATGTATTATATACCTTCTGTGTACCAGGCGCATAGCAATAAACTACACCTGGTGTCTGCTGGCACAAAGGTGCAGTCTGTGGGGGGGAGGTGCAGCCAACAGGTGGTCACCCTGTGACAGTGACAGTGCTGTGTGGTGGTGTGGTGGATAGCCAGTGAGGTATGGAGAGGCAGCAGAGGGCCCCCAACTTCAGCCTGTGCCGGGGAACTAGGAACCACTCTGGGCTTTGCCAGGCATGTCACTGCCACGGCTCCCAATACCAGCTTCCCCACTGCTCCCAGTGCTCCTAGGCATCCAGGGTGAGCCCCGGCCTCCATTTCCTTCAGGAGCCTTTGTATGCAGAGGTTCAGAGCCAGAAGGCCACCCCACACCACTAGGCCCTGGGGGGATTTTGGAATTAGGTGTTACATTGAGAAGGTGCACACTTGCTTCCATTTTAATATTTGCTATTGGAAGGAGCTGCTTGAATTTCTGGGGGAATTTTGTCCCCTTCCCTCCAGGTCATTCTGAGTTTCCTTTATAATTTCATTTTTAACTATATGTTACTTTTCTCAGCTCAAATCCGTTCCCAATATCAAAGCTGTTGAAAACATTTTTCGATTCTGTTATGATAAATGCCTGGGGTAAAAATGTTGTTATCTAAACAGCTGGCCCTAGAGTTCTCCCTAGGGAGGGAACCACCTTTGTTTTGGGAAAATACCTTGACAAACACCTTGGGGTAGAAAGTGAGACCTAGAGGAACCTCAGCCTCAAAGCCACTGGCTGAAATGGACCTAGAATATAAGAAAGGAATTTGTTTTGCTCTGGAGAGGGAGCAGAAACAGAGCGATGGAGACTGAAAGGAGAGGAAGAAGGAGAATTAAGATTAAGAGAAGTCTAGATGTTAAGATGAAATCCAAGTCACTGGCAGGCCCCCAGAGTAGGGTAGAGTCTAGACCCTGACCCCGGAGATAATTTAGTGCCAGCAAATTGTGAGACGCGGATGCCGAATGTCCCCTGTGAAAGCCCATTGCTATGAAGTACAAAGCCTCCAAAGTTTTAGCAAACTCTGTAACACTCATGAACCCTGTACAAGCGGAACTTTTTTAAGGCCTTGAAAAAGGGGCTGAGCTTCTTGTCTGGATCAATGTCACAAGGCAGAAGTGTTTCTGAGCAGATGAACTGCTCTCAGGCCCTGGGAACTTGCAGAAATCTTGGGATAACTTTGGACTTCTGCAGAAAAGAACTGTAGTTTGAGGAGGCCGGGACTGACGTGTGAATTAAATAAATGCAAAGCAATTAATCAAACCAAGTGACTAGGGGTGCTGGGACAAAACCTAAACTTGATAGAACCCTGCCTAGGAGCAATACCACTACTCCACGCTCTGCAAAGTGCCTTCTCAAGCGTTGTCTCATTTGATCCCACACTGCCTGTGGAAGGCAGCCTGGATGGAGAGGCTGCTGCCTATTTTACAGGTCAAAAAGATGCCCTCTTTCCATGCCCTTTCAGGCCTGAACTCTCTGAGGAAGATGGAATTCTCCTTGAAGGCTCACCAGGAGTAGGAACCAGAAAGCTTGTTTTGCTAAACCTGGAAGATCAGCACCATGAGAGGGGAAGGTGGATGGAGGGGTGATTTGTCTGAAGTGCTAAAAAAAAGGCTTTGCTCTGCTGGTAGTTTGAAAAACGAAAAAAATGCATCCACTGCTTCTGTGGTTTCTGAACATGCATTTTGGTATCACCTGGATCAAGTGTCTCCAGTGAACAGTGGGTTCTGACATCCTGACCTCAGCTCCAATCTCCTCTTCCCCAAGGGCTGGTGAAAGCCTCTAATGTTCCTGTGTCCAATACAAAAGTCCTCAAATCTGCTTTATTTCCACTTCTCCTCAGCAGGCCCTATATATATTTTTTAAGACAGGGTCTCATTCTCTCGCCCAGACTGGTGTGCAGTGGCACGATCTTGGTTCACTACAACCTCTGCCTCCCAGGCTCAAGCGATTCTCCTGCCTCAGCCTCCTGAGTAGGTGGGATTATAGGTGCGTACCACTACTGCCTGGCTAATTTTTGTATTTTTAGTAGAAACAGGGGTTTCACCTTGTTGGCCAAACTGGTCTCGAACTCCTGACCTCAATTGATCCACCCACCCCAGCCTCCGAAAGCGCTGGGATTACAGGCTTGAGCCACGCGCCTGGCCAGCGGGGCCTCTACTCTGCTAGTGGTCTTTCCTGTGCTCCAGGCTGGACTCCTATTCTTCAGCACTAGGGCCTTAGGTGGCATTCACAGAAGGAATTCTATCCCGCCTCAGTGTTTACCTGGCAATTATATACCCTTTCTCAGGGTTTACCTGACAAACCAAACACTGTCTTCTTGTCCTCACACCTGCTGGGGCAGTGCACTTCCTTTGGGGCCCGAGGCCCAAAACCCTTTGAGCAGATAAAACTTTACCTCTGTTTCATGCTCTGTTGGGTTCTTCTGTTGGATGTATTTTCATCCTGTGAGTTTTCTTTGGTGGAAAAGAAGGTATTTTAAGCTTTTCTGGAGCAGAGGAGTAATTTCCTGGTTGCGATCCAGGCTCTAAATGGCTTCCTATACCCTGCCTTCCCCCGAGTCCCTCCCTGCCTCCACACACCAGACCAGGCAGAATCCTTCCTAGCTTGGCTCTTCCTGGGTAACACATTCCCCCTGTGCATGTGCGGATGTGCGGTGGGGAAGGATGAAGCCTGCTGTGTCCTGTGTCACAGGCCACATACACACCTCAAAGTTATGACCTTTTCCAGAACCCTGCACAGATGTGACGCATATCATAGCTAAGTACCTGAGTACAGGAGGGGTCTCATCATACCCCCTTGTGTCCTTGAGTGTGAAACAGACAAACGAAACCCATCTATTTCCATGAGCTCATGCACAATTAGAGTAAGAATTCCAGCTTCCAAATGAGAACTAAAAGGCGTTAACAGCCTTTTACTTCAAAACAGACCATGCCAAGAGCTGCTACCCACTGACAGTTTAGGGACAAGGTCTGGGAGTCCACAGAGCCTACATGTCCAGGAGAAGGAAGCCTCTGCTGGGCTGATGAGCCTGAGACAGCTGCAGAAGTAAGATGGCACATGTGGCCAGGATGGGCCCCAAAGGGGGCCAACTCACCTGCCTGAGCTCATCTGGGCATCCTCTTTGCAGAAGGCTACTCTGAATCTCCCTCCAACACCCTGTGACACCCATTTCTTGCCAGTCATCTCTTCTTGCTCAGAGGAAACACTAGACAGTGGTTGGGTCATAATGACAAAGACAGATAGCTATGTGACAT